TAGAATTGTTATTTAGAATGATTAAAAGTATTTTACAAAAATTAAAGTAAAAAAGAGCTTTTATACTTATCTTTGCTGTTTCTAATTACTTATACAAGTCAGTCATATTACGCGGAACGCTAAAAAAAATTAAAAAAATTATTAGTGTATAAAGGAAATGATAGATGAAAATAAAAATTGCATTAGTTGATGTGCATTATTTTAACGAATATAATCCACTTACTTTTGTTTCCACATAATTCTTCAATGGCGAGATATTCGTAACTCGCCAATTTTTTTTCTGTGTTCCATTTCTTAAGTGAGCTACTGTATGTATCTCCAAACTGATTAAATCCAATCCCGTAAAATAAGTTACATTAAGCAAAAGTTAAAAAATAATATCTATTCCTTACTCCTTCCTTACATATATTGCTTTGAATCATCGTATAAAATTCATACCGATACGTATTGAATATATCATCGATTTGATTATACTGTACGTATCTCTGAACTGAAATGATATTTGGACCAGTCACGTGCATCCATCCGATCCATCTGTACGTGCAATGTCACATGTTTGGTACGTGTCCGTAGATTCTCCCTGATTAATAGTGCAAGCATTATGTCACTTTTGACGTAGACGTAAAAAGTGACGTATGCTGTATATAGTAATGTATGTCATACGTATATAGTACTACATCATTATAGTAACAAATACATGTTTTTGGGTGTCATTTATCATGCATAAACACAAACGGAAGCGAACATCGATATAAATAAATCATCATTTTTTAAATAAAACACTGCAAAGATGGCATCTAAAACTTTGAATACTCATCATTGTAATGAATATCTTTAGTGTCAATAGGATTACTGCAAAGCGTGTTCAGTTCACAATATTCATAATTGTAGTAATAACTGTGTCGATTGTGACTATCGGGGGTTACTGCGATGAGTGTTCAGTTCACAATACTCATGATCATAATTGTAGTAAATGTACTCGTTGTCGAAACAACAAGTACTGTGAGGGATGTGTTCGATATTACAAACTTAAAAGTGGAAATAAAAATATCGACAGTACAGTCTAATAAATGAATGTGACGAAATTATTGAGGATAACGATAAAGTATTCGAATGGATCCCTTTTGAAAGATTTACCATGTTGAATATCTTGCAAAAAGAGATTTTGAAAGCAACCTGGTTGGAAGGACCATTGTACAAGTGGGATCATGAAGATAATAAATTTGAACGAATGGGAGAAACTGACGTTGTGTTGAAATCATTACAAAATTCAAAGCAAATTACATCAGAATTTATAAACGAGGTAAAAATGAACACCTTTAAGTATAAGCATATTGCTTTTTTGTTTTTCAATATAATTAAATTTTTCTAAATTAGATTCAGACCGCTCTTGAATGATAATGTATGAGCTCATAACAGGTGAATGACCATTTGGCAAACGAAGTCACAATATACATCTTGTATGTGACATCTATAAAGAAATACGACCTAAGATACCAAGTTTATTATTGAAAAATGTCGTGATCCTATTCCAAAAAACAGACCAACTGCTAAGGAAATTAACAACTTTATTTACTCTATCAGACGTATGTGACAAAGGTGAATACTTTGCATTTTCAGTACTACAGCTCTTTAGAATATCCTAGAACACATGAGGAAATTAAAGAGTGTCTCGAACTAGAAAAGCAGAAATGGAAAGAACTTGAGAAGATGAAATTACAAAAAAGCTTTCCTACGAATGAAAAACAAATCCACTCAAACGCATTTTACACCAGTCAAATGTTTACTTCAATTCCAATTGACACAGGTAATTTTTTTATTTCTAAATATAAATCACATCACATTGATATTTCATATTAATTAAAATTCATATCGAATGTCTAGGAATGTCAAGTGTCTGTCTGTTTGTTTGTTCCAAACGAAGGTAAAATTATTTAATAGTATTTTTTATTGACTTCATTAATTCATTGCTATTTTTTCTTATGGATTGCAAGTCAGAAATTAATGAGAATTGGTTTCTTATAAAATATTGTTCAAAAAAATGGATAACTGAAAGTTTGGTTTAATTTTAATTAGCATGAATAATAATCATTATGGCATACGTCACGTTAATATAATCCAAGGATAGTACGTCATCTACGCCATCGTGACTACCCTGGTAAATGTTTGCAATACTAGCTATGATACAACGCGTGTTTTATTCATGATATTTTATACAAAAATTTATTAGATATGGAGCCTAATACCATTTCTTCATTACAAAATAATATCACACTTACTCCGACTACCTCAAATGCAAGCGAAAGCGCGCTCACTCTGACTACTTCCAACATGAGTGAAACTGCACTCACTCAGACTACTTTTAACTCAAGTATGCTTGATAATTTATTACTGGAACCTGTTTACGACGATTATAATGAAAGTGAAAATTGGAATGAGAGAACGTCAGCAAGTAGCTTAGCAAGCAGTTCAGCAACCAACTCAGTAACCAACTCAATAACCAACTCAGCAACCAACGAATCAAGCAATATATCAAATAATGGTACTCCAGTAATACGTTCGAAGATAGCTGCTGTACGTGATTATATTATTGAACAATCTGATGGTTCAAAAATTTGCAAAATATGTCGTGCTCGCTTTGGAAAGAAAACTGCAACATCAACAATTACTCGCCATTTTGATGTAAAGCATCATAGTACTTATCTTGCAATAAATCAGCGTGTTCTTGATATCAAACGCTTTCAGCCCTATGGACGCAAAGATCAGGTCAAAATTGATGATATCAACAATAAGCTTACACATTGGATTGTTGCAGATCAAATGCTCTTTATACTTATGGATAGCGGGTGGTTTAAATCCTTTATTCATTCACTTAATGAAAGATATACTCTTCTTTGTCGACAAATAATTGCGAAACAAGTGAGTAATGACTTTAATAACCAACATATTCAGCTGCAGACATATCTTATTCGACAATCTGATAAATTCTCCTTAACAACAGATATCTGGTCAGCATGCAACATGGAATCATATCTCGGTATTACAATACACTGGATTAATACTGAATGGCAAATGCAAATCTTACTTCTTGATATTGTTCCATTACACGAGACACATACGGCTGAAAATATAACTGATACAATTTGTAATGTACTCAGTGATTTTGTGATTGGTGACTGACTTCTAAGTATTACCACTGATAATAGAGCAAATATGATTAGGATGGGTCATTTGCTGCATAATAGGATTGAACAACAATTTAACAATTCGAATGTTACCCACCTGCGTTGTGTTGCACACATTTTGAATCTTGATGTACACGCGGGATTACAAAAAATATCATCAGAAGTCAAAAAAGCACGTGCTTTTTCTAGCAAATTGCGTAATTCACCATTGCTTTTGGAAAATATGAAAAGAATTGCCAGATCATTAGAAGAAGACTTTAAAATGCTGAAAATTGATGTACCAACCCATTGGAATTCGACATATCTTATGCTTCAGCGATTCAAAGAAATAAAGACAATAACTGATATCCTTGTTACAAAACATCAAAATCTTCAAGATATTTATTTGACATATGCTGAGCGCAATATATTACAAGTAAGTATTTTATAATATAATCAATAATCTATTAAAATCACGCTAATTCTTATTTATATATTTTTTTCTAGGATACAATGGACATTCTTCATCCAATAA